TTTGAAGGGCCAGTGGAATAAAAATATAGAAAATAAATACATTGTATGGTGCTCTCATTTTGCAAATTGCCAGTCAAGTGAATAAGCTATTGAGAAGTAAATTACGTATATGCCATTTATAAACATCTGACTTGGAGGGGTTATTGATTGTTATATGAAAGCTATTCATTGTTCAGACTGTGTATATTGATTAAACAATTATTTAAGCCACTGCAGATCTTTTATTAATTTCTTTAGAACTTAATCACTCTGATAGAGCCAGTGTTCTCTGAGGTGACCTCCATTTACTAGCTATGGAAGGGAAAAAGAGCTTCATGCATTCATGGAATTTTAAGTATAATTATCAGAAACACAGCTTGTTGGCCTTTTAATCAAGGCCCCCAAAAACCCAGAACCACAAAAAAGGAGATCATACTGAAATATGTGTAACACTGACATCTTGCCAGGTGCAGACTGCTGACTATTGGTAACATTCACAGTTTTTTAGGGAAAGGCGTTTTAATAGTTCTTGCTTTAGATTCAGCAACAAACCTAAAAAGTTTTGTGGGATCTTGAAAACTGCGGTGCAAATATTATGACTATAAAGTTGCAGAGTCCACTATTTAACTACTGGGAGTTCACCATTTAACTACTATTTAAGCTTATGCAGAGAGAGAGAGAGAGAGAGAGAGAGAGAGAGATGCCACAATATACTACTATTTTGGTGGAACAGATAAATATGGCTTCCCCTCTGGAAATCACAAGTGATAATTCAATATTTTATCTGTGGAAGCTGTGATGCTTTACCACATGTATGATGGGTTCCCGATCTGCCTTTAGGATGGTTCCAGTTCTATGTTTAATAAATTGGCTTACATAGACTGATTGATGCACTGTCTTTATCTGTTATTCCCTGCCAGAGAATTGAAACCTAAAAGCATTTTATAAGTTTCATACACAAAGTACAATAAGCACAGCGTTCCCTTATTGGGGACCCATAGGGTTCTCCTGAACGCTATGGGTGCCTGTTGGGTCATCCTATTGGCTGTGGTAGATGTGAGAAAAATATCCAAATTGCATCCCAGGGTTAGTGACTGCCACGTTTGTGAATTTGTATGAACCATTGTGCAGCTTATCTTAAATACGTTAATGACGGATTATGAGCCATCTATGTTACAGTCTTTGCCTGAAGCGCTGCAGAGTTGGCCTTGAATGGGGGGGGGGGTTTCTCACAAAGCTGTGTGATAATGTAGGAATGTTTCTATGAGTGCCAAGCAGGATGGGTCAGGAAATTCAATACTTTGAGATGAAACGAAGATACAAAATACATTGACTATAGAAAATGCATGCATATAGAATATCATTATAGTAAGGAAATAGTAAGAAATCATACTTCAACCACAGGTACAAGGCATGATCACCTGTGCAAAATGCTGATTATGAATGCCAAGCACACGTGAATCCAAGAGCATGTGTTGTCTTAAATTGTAAAGCCGGTACTTTGTATATGTTATATCAGAACCTCATTCTTGCCCCCTATCAACTGGTCCTCTATGACAAATGGAGCATTGTCCCATACCAGCCTCAAGCTACCTCAGTCAGACCACTCAGAACCCTGTGTTTGTCATGAAGGACAGAGCAAGATGCATTTTTTTTGCCTGTTTTGGGGTGTGTATCTTTGAATCCCACTTTTCCTCCAGCAGTGCCTGTTGCTTCTAGCTGCACTGTTCTACTAACCACAATGGGCATCAGCCACTTCTGGGTTTCATATATTTTGTACAGAAGAAATAATGTACACCTCCCCATTAAATCCTGCATTACCATTAAGGTTGCAGTCTTGTACCTCCTAAATCTAGAAACAAGTCCTACTGAAGTGACACTTCTTATTAGTCATGCATAGGACTGCACTTCATAGCTTTACTGAAAAACAGTGAGGCAATATGCTGTCAATTAAGTTTAAGATTTTGGCCTTTTTCAGTGTATAAACATGCTCTTTCATCTACTTGAGTCTTTCATTCAATACTCAATCTTTCTTGAATTATTATGATCCTCTCATGTAAATGTATGGAAAATAAATTAATGGAAACAAGTCGAACAAAATAACTGTGGAATTATTGCTGGCCTTTTGTTTTGTAAAGAGAGGCTTGTGGTGTGTGCTGGAGACAAAATATCTTCAGTAACTGTAATACTTTTAAACGGAATACTTTCTAGAATCAAACAGTCCTATTACTTCACCTTTTTGATGCATCATTTGAATGATTGTGGTGCTATAAATGTTTCAAGTGCTAGAAATATGTTTACACTTATGCAGCTGGATGGGACATTTTATACAGTCATATTTTATTGAAGAACCTACACCGTACTTGACCTATGATGTGCAGATTTTATGTCTTTATCACTTCAACAGGTACAAGCTGTGTCTATGTTTCAACTCCTCCTCCCAAAACAAAACAGAGAGATATAAAATATCCTTCAAAATCTATTCAAGTAGAAAGTACTTGGCTGATTTCCATCAGCCAATATATTAGTTGAGGAGGGGGCTAGGTCTTAGAGAACTGCAATTTAGAGACGTAGAAGTGATGTATGCTGGTTCTCAGGTTGTTTCTGTTAAGAGTAACAATGGAATCCTCATTAGGTTCAGGAAACACGAGAGGTCGATATGAAAACTAACTCCATTGTTAACTCTCCATAGTTAGTATTCTCCCTGGGATTTGAAAATACTTCATAACTCATTAAATGAAATTGTGAGGCAGCATTTTATTCTGATGTCAGGTAGCCTTCCCTCTTTTTCTCATTCCAAAGAAACTCATCTTTCCACTGTACAACTGCTTCATTATGCTCTCCCTACTGTCCAGGAGACACTACTTTACCTTTAGATATTATCTGTTATGGTTAAAAACCACATGGATTTCACATCCTCCAGTGAAACTTGGAAGGCATTAGCAAAAGGCAAAGTGGGCTCCAGAACCAGAAGATAATTTATTTTTGCTAGCAAAAACAAACTGGTGCAGTCCCAGTACAATTCAGAAAGTGTCCAGGAAGCACACCTCCTGGCCAGTCTGTTTATACCTTTCCGAAAACATCAGCATTATTGCATATACCAATGAGCAAGCAATGTTCTAATCAAGAACCTGTACGTAAGCTATAGGAACAAGGACTGTACAGTATGTACATGTGATTTGTTTAAACAGATAGTCAGGAAGTCATTGGATCTTTCAGTCTAGCTTATAAAATGAAACCAATATGTGAGCGGTGGGGGTTAATCACAAAACATATCTTTCTTGCCTAGAGCAAGGGGTTCATCCACCTTTGAAGCATAAACCACAAAAACCACAGACTCACATCCTCTTGAAACAAACACGTTTCAATGAAGGTCATATTTAACTAAGTGTACAAAAACAGGGTTAAAAATTTCTTTGCTGTCTGTATTAAATCATTAAAGGACTTGTCCATTTCCCAGTTTCCCTAACATGAACCTCATGAGGAAAATGTCATGAAAGTCGTTCACTACATTATGGGTTCACTAACTTCCTGGCCCCTCCAAGGATTCCTTAGGGAATAGTGCGCATTTATATGGTTCCTCAGAAGTAATACATTTCTGAGAGGAAATGGAACACTGTTCTATTATTACTTTGCAGTTACAAATGTTTTATGGTCACATCAGGCCTAAAAGCAGCAAATGCTGGTGCTGAGACAAGCACTGGGACTGTAAAGTCCTGTGAGTTTCCATAACCACCACTACCACTGCTACAAGCATCTAGCTACTTGCTTGCTAAGGTGTACCTTAGGGTTGGAACAGTCTGAGCACACAACACCAAGTAAATACTCCACCCTCATAAATACATATACTGTACACACAATCATAACTTGGAACCAGGTCTGACCTGCATGATTAATAAGATACTTCTTCTCTTCTGCGCCTGCAACAAGAAGCTTGAAAGCATTGGATTCTGATTTAGATGAATTTGTTTATTTAGGTCTGTAGCATAAGGAGACAGAATTAACAAAAGTGAAGCAGAGAGCTCCTGTGTTTCAGTCCCTATGCCCATGTCTGGGGCAGGGGGAGAGATTTTCCTCTTCAGACCGCAGTTCTATGCCACATAGACTGGGTTTTTCTAGGGCTTATCCATCTATCCTCTGGAGATGTAGAACATCTCCAGAAGATAGGAGAAGAAAGGGAAGACAAAGCTAAGTTACAGAAGCTGCCTTCCACACACAGAAAATGTGGATACAGACCCTGCTTTAGCATTATGTCTTTTAACTAGCACAGCTGTTGTGTTAGTGGGTAAAATTGATGTAACAATGACAGAAAGGCCACCTTCAGTCTTTAAAAGCTTAAGGGAAGAGCAACAAAGCAAACTCACAACAATAAGCAATAGCCTTGGTTTTATGCTAATCCATCTAAGAATGTCTGGTCCTTGAGGGAGATGAGAGCCAAGGACACAATTTGGGTTTAAATGAGCTGTACAACAAAGCCCTTAGACAACAGATACTTATGAAAAGGACTTAGAAGTCAGAGCGTCTTTTACCACTGAAATTCTGAATAGTGATTATTCTGGTCTTGCCTAGGCCTAGTGTCCAGCACAGGCCTTTTGGGGCTCCTGGCCATCCATCTGAGCTCTTTGTATGGTCATGGGTTTATGTACGTGTATGTGAAAAAGAATGAGAAGATCATTTAAACACAGTTCTATGTTCTCAGTGCCATGAAGTCGGAACTGACCTATAGTGACCCTAGTATGGCTTTCAAGGTAAATTAGATATTTAAGGAGTGGTTTTACCAGTTCCACTCCCTCAGTCAGTTTTCAGGGTTGAGTGAGGATTGGAACCCTATTCCCCTGAGTTGAAGTCCATCCCTCTATCCACTGCATCACACTGGGATTCCCCACATGTCAGAGATAATTAGATTTTCCCTCAGCTACAGTTTTGTTGAGGTTTGTTGCTATTGTTGTCGTACATTTCTATGCTTCTACTCAGAACTAATCTGTCTTCTTTATGTTCCTCTTTTATATTTGTTATTGAAGGTGCTGGTGGCTGGACTCCACTCATATCAAATAAATATCAGTGGCTTCAGATTGATTTTGGGGAAAGAACTGAAATTACAGCTGTTGCTACCCAAGGTGGATATGGGAGTTCTGACTGGGTAACGAGCTATCTCCTGATGTTCAGTGACAGTGGAAGAAACTGGAAGCAATATCATCAAGAAGAAAGCATTTGGGTATGTTCTTCTATTGCCTGCTGTATTTGTTCTACTGTCATATTGCATTATATATGTTTCAATATCTTTTATCAATGGATATTCATCATAGATTTTGAAATATTTTGTTGCACTTAATCTATATGATTTGCTGTGACTTTCTATAAATAGTAAATCAGCAAGACCTGAAAATAGCATGTCAGATATTACATGCATTTGCTTTTTTTGGTTACCCTGTTGAGAAGCATTCCCAATGTGTCTCCTGTTTCGTGTTTAGCTGTTTGTTTGTTTTATGCCCTTAATTCTTTGCTGCTTTGATTACTTTTATGAAAGATAAAGGCTTACTTTCAGACTTTATAGATTGGATCCAGAATCACTCAGGTTTACAGCAGATGTATTGCAATTGTTGGGAGTAAATTTTGTCATGATAATTTGCCCCACTGATTTCAAAAGGTCTATTCTAAGCATGATGAAATCAGTACATAAGCACTTGTGGTTTGCTGTCTTGGCTAATTTTTTTTCCTGATAGTCAATATTGGAGCAATTTCATCTAACTACTTAGGCAACTGCTTCTGCAAAGTTTTGCGTAAGTCAATTATTCTGATATGGGATCCTGAAGAAAATATGGTAACCCTGAGTCCTATAAGGTGTATCTAATCTATTTCTTATGCGTACTGCTGAGGTTGGCTAATAGCCGAAAAGTGCAGCAATTTAGGTTCTTTAATGGCATATATATTCAGTCATTGACCAGATCAATTTATAATTGAATAGAATTTTATTGAGTAATTTCAGCATTCAAATTGCAGCCAATTTTCCAAAGAGGTTTCAGAATAACCTTTTGGTGCATGATGGATACAAAAGGTTAAAAGAATGATAAAAGAGCAAATTGAAGTTATTACAAATGAAGACTAAGTACAAATGAGTGGTTTTGAAGATGAAGTAAGAACATAGCTCTGATCTTATTAAAAATAATAGGTTATTGGGTACATAAAGCTATCAGGTCACAACATTAAACAAGAAGATTAAAACAGTTCATTTGGACAAACCAGCTTCACTAGTCAGTGCTTTCTCCAGCATCAATCCAATAATTATGAGACAGCAATCCTGTAAACAGTTAACGGGGGCCAATTCCATTGAGGTCTGTGTGACAGCTATGTAGATGTATGGACTCTACTGTTAGTTTGCACTAATGACAGAAATTCTCCAAATAATTGTGTACTGAGCTTGTGGACAAAGCATACTTGGACTGACTGAAGATGAACAATCAGTTTTCTGTCTTACTTACAAGATGAGTTTCTGTGAAACAACTTAGACTACTTCTATATTATACCGTTTCTCAGCTGTTGTTCAAGGAAGGGCACTAGGCTTCTCTGGTAGACAATTAAAAGTATCTCACTAAAATTACAAACACTGGAATACCACAAGATGGAAGGCATTTTCAATGGGGGGGGGCAAAGACTAGAAACAATTCTTCACACACTATCTTATAAGTGGTGCCTCAACTTACGAACATCCTACTTATGATCATTTCGAGTTACAACCAGCTCCAGCCGCAAAATTTTGCTTCTACTTGTGACTGGAACTTCCACTTACAAACAGAAAAAGGCAGGGGAAAAGGTGAGAAATTCAAATTTCTAACTGTAGGTGGTGACAAGGCTCTTCTTTGTAGCTCTTTTGCCCCAGTATTTAGAGAGGGTGCCTCGGAGGAGGCTTGGGACTGCCTCCTTCTGTTTCTGAGTGTGTGTGTGTGTTTGCAGGGAGGCTTCGGGCTGCCTGGTAAGGTAAGGTGCTGTGTTCTGTTTTTTTCAAACTGTTCTGGGTGTTTTTACAGCATGGTTTTAAGTTGGGGGGGTATGTTTCTGTGCTGTGATGGGTCTTGGGAGGTTTGTTTTTGGTTTGTTTTTCCCATTTCTGATGGGTCTTGGGGTTTTTTGTTGCTTTTTGGAGGGTTTTTCCCCCATTTCCAATAGGTCTTGGAGGGTTTGTTGGTTGGTTTTCCCCCCATTTCCAATGGATCTTGGGGGGTTTGGTTGCTTTTGGGGTTTTCCCCCATTTCCAATGGGTCTTGGGGGTTTAGTTGCTTTTTTGGCTTTTTTCCCCTCCCATTTTCGATGGGTCCTGCATGCTTCCCTTGCTTTTTCCTTTGTTTTCTTTTCATTTCCAACCTGCCCCCTTTGTTCTCTGTGCATTTACGTTCTGCTCCATTTGTTTTCTGTGCTTTTCCAATGGGTCTTGCACACTTAATTGCTTTTCTTCCTTCCCCCTTCAGCCGGAAGGGATTAGTTACGTTCCCAATGAGTTTCGCAGTGATTTTTTTTCTGGTGATTTTTTTCCCTTCGGTCGAACAGATTAATTGCATTTCAATGTATTCCTACGGGAAATGGTGCTTTGACTTACGACCATTTCAAGTTACGTCCATCTTCTGTACAGTTTGTTATTAGATTTATACAATCCTGATTTGGCCTATATTTCTTTCATATTGTATTTAAAGCTGTGGCCAAAAAAAGTTGAGAATAGCTGAGATAGAGTGTTGAAGTAAATATGGACCCAGGGTGGAATCAGACAGGAAAATAGCTCACATTTTGCACTGCTTCTGGCATGGTCCAGTGGAGCTATTTCCTAGCAATCACACAATATGTTGGTCCAGAGCAGAGGTACTCTTTTTGAGGGCTGAGTTTGAGTGATTCCATGATAGATGGAAGGTCACTTTAAGAGAGATTTCTCCCTGAAAAGTGCCCCTTTCCAGTGTCAGCAGATAAAATTCTTTCTTCCCTCAACTGTTCTATTTGTACTGTAGATGGAGACATGGCTCATGCATTTCTTCTTTCACACAAGCTTAATGTATTCAAAGCAACTGCATGTGAAAAATTTACATAATTTATATGTTCTTACATTTTCTTAACCTTTACAGAACACAAATGAAATATTTGACAAAGATAGTTCTTAGTGTTTTTTTTTAAGCTGAACTGGATGTTTCTCTATCATTCTTAATAGTCCAATGGAGCATCACACTGTAAATAAAGGTAAAGGTTCCCCTTGACAATTTTTGTCCAGTCGTGTCCGACTCTAGGGGGCGGCGCTCATCCCGCTCTTCAAGCCATAGAGCCAGCGTTTGTCCGAAGACAATCTTTCCGTGGTCACATGGCCAGTGTGATTTAGACACGGAACGCTGTTTACCTTCCCACCGAGATGGTACCTATTTATCTACTCGCATTTGCATGCTTTCGAACCGCTAGGTTGGCGGGAGCTGGGACAAGCAACGGGCGCTCACTCCGTCGCGTGGATTCGATCTTACGACTGCTTGGTCTTCTGACCCTGCAGCACAGGCTTCTGTGGTTTAGCCCACAGCGCCACCACGTCTTAACCTTTACAGAACACAAATGAAATATTTGACAAAGATAGTTCTTAGTGTTTTTTTTTAAGCTGAACTGGATGTTTCTCTATCATTCTTAATAGTCCAATGGAGCATCACACTGTAAAATTCACTGAACTAATATTCATAGTAACAGAAAACAATTTGCCAGCCTACAATACTTGAGACCAGCCTCCATATCTTTTCCATCTGAAACACTTTTAACTAGCCTTCAGTTTTCTGATGAAGCAGTTATAATTAATGATAAAATGTGTATTTTGAGAGAGGGCTTTACAGTTCCTAATATAATTCACTTAATTTTTTGGAAATTATCAAACCAGATTAAATTAATTTTGTACATTTTTTGTTAATGTCTTCAAAGATACATCAATTCAGTGTATTGAGGCTGCTGTAAACACATGAAAAGTCAATATATTAAATCAGTAGCTGCCTATCATACTAGCAACTGAGCCATTATGCATAACATTGATGGGTTATGCGTTGTTTACAGAAGACATGCTGTGCTGATAAGCCCTTTACATCATGGTGAGTAGAATATCTGTCCTGACATGGCAAGGCAGTATCTTGAGGATTCTCCAACCCACTCTTGAGATTTTGGCTCCAGTGTGAGACAAAGATGACAGATTCTTATTTCTTTACCATAGTTCTTTCAGTTCATGCAAAATATACTTTGTACTAGGGAGCAGATTTACTGATTTCTTGGACTACAGCTCCCAGAATTCTGGGAGTTCTGCCTGACAGACACTTAAATGGAGCTCAACTGGGCAAAAGCCTTGAACTGGAAGGCTTTGAAGTTGAGCTAGGCCTAGCTCCACCCTGCTTCCTGTTCAGAAAGAAAGCTAACTAGCACTAGGGGAGGAACACAAAGCTTGGGCACAACTAGGCCTAGCTCCGCCTGAAAGCTTCTCAAAGAGTCTGTAAAAATCTGTCTGTCAATCATAACTACAAAAATGGAGAATTATGGGATTTATATTCCAAAAAATCTGAAAATCCCATCTGTGACCTCTGTCTATGGATAAAAAAATCTTTTTTCCCCTTTGGAAAGCTAAACACCCATACATATGTGTATGCATGTGCATGTGCAGGCATGTGTGTGCACACTCACACAGATACAAAGACACAGAGAGAGAGACAGCAAAAAGGGATAAATTTATTGCTCATAAAGAGCAATAAAACATGCAATCCATCAATCGCTGCAAATTTTACTTACCCATGTTCCAAAGTACAGTGGTGCCCTGCATAGCGAGGTTAATCCATTCCGCATTAGTTTAATGCATTCCAATGGCTTCTATACTCACCGTTAAGTGAAGTTTCCTCATAGCGCCGCCATTTTCGCACCCTCGGTAAGAGAGGCCACATTTTCGCGCCCTCGGTAAGAGAGGGCAGAGCCTGAAAATGGTTGCAGTGGCCATTTTGGGTCGTCCGGTGGCCATTTTGGAGCGGCCGAACAGCTGATTTCCTGGCGTCGCAATGCGAAGATCGGTAAGCGAAACGCTTACCGATCTTCGCAATGCAAGTTTTGGCCATAGAGGCCATTGGTAAGCGATCGCATTAGCGATCTCAAAAAAGAGATCACTTTGCGATTTTGTCGTTATACGGTGCGCTCGTTAAGCGAGGCACCACTGTATTGAGTATCACATTATTTTACACATGTTTTAAATGCTCAAAAGGTAGTTTTGAGTGTGATGCTCATGTCTCCCTAAGGAGTATATGGCATTCAGGCAGGGAGTTCCACAGGCCACAAATCTGCTGCTTTATGGCAGGGAGTTCCACAGGCCACAAATCTACTGCTTTACATTGAGGCAAGTCCTCAACTTCCAGCACTGCATAGCATCTGTGCCTTGAACAAGCCTGACCCTTAAAGAATACTTTACTTTACTCAGCACTTTGTAAGTACTGCAACATGGGCTTTGTGATTCCTTAGAACTCACAACTGCTCATTTAAATAGGACTTCTCTATGGTAACTAATCAATGGCCTTTACCACTCCTCTGGATTTAGCCAAACCCTGCTGGTCCAAGAGACTAGTCCTCAGTTTTAATTTTTATAATTATTTTTTATTAAGAAAATATAGTTTCATAGAAGCAAGTTTGTTTGCTTAAACCTAGCATAAAGACATGTTTATTACCATAGTTAAATACAACAACTACTTCCCATTAAAATAATGAACACTGAACACTGAGCTAAGTTGGGCTAACCCCACCTCCTCCTTTTCTTGCCATGCTACATTCTTTTACTTTCAGCTACATAACACAAACCATCAAGAACTTCTCTCAGGAAAAAGTTCTCTTCCACACAATGGTGATCTCAAACATAACCCATTGTCCATTTTTCTACATTCCTTGGACCTCCATCTTCATGGCCGCAAACCAATTAACTCCAAGAGTTATCTCCATTCCAATTAGAAGGGAATTTGTTGGGTCTTCGCACTGGGGCCTCTTTGACCTTGCACTCTTATCAGGATTCACACTGTAACAGCCTGGCTGTAAATCAGGAAAAACAGGCTCTCAGCCTTTTCCAGTTCTCATGTCTTCAACTCCTTTCACTTTGAAACCTAAGACTCAATTTTCTCTCATTTTCATTGACTACAAGTCCCACTCACCTTCAATATCATGACATTGAGCATGTACAAAATCTCTCTGAGACTGACCAATATACCTAAAAGTAAAACAAATCCCTTGAGGTCATGTGTTGAAGAGAATAATTTCGTTGTCTAGTTTATCAAGTGAGGACACAGTAAGGCAAGGTTTATATTTTCTATGCTGTTGATTCATTTTTTCCTCTGAGTAAAGTTCCACTCTAAACTCTGTATACTTTTCTATACAGTTCTTATTTAATGGAATGGAATTCTGGATGTGTGCATACATTTTAATCTACTGGTGTGTTGCCTTTTTTCATCCTAGAGACAGATTATGGCAAATAATTGTGTTTTCTTGTTCAGTTTTCTCTAATGCTTTTCCCTAGAATACTGAGGCATGCTTAGGTCAAGGACATGTTGGCATGCATTTCTCTGGAACAGTTTTAATTACTTCATCTTAACCTCAGAAAATAAATTTATGGCAATCTGTGCTCATCAGTGTTCTTCATTAACCTACACTTAAGTGATAAAATTGCCTTTCTAATGCGCAGTCTACATCTCAACCCAAAGAAGGGCAGTGCCAAAGAATGCTCCAACTACTGTACAATTGCATTCATTTCACACACTAGCAAGGTTATGATCAAAATCCTCCAAGGTAGGCTTCAGCAGTATGTGGACCGAGAACTACCAGAAGTACAAGCTGGATTTTGAAGGGGCAGAGGAACTAGAGACCAAATTGCTAACATGCACTGGATTATGGAGAAAGCCAGAGAGTTCCAGAAAAACATCTACTTCTGTTTCATTGACTACACAAAAGCCTTTGACGGTGTGGACCACAACAAACTATGGCAAGTCCTTAAAGAAATGTGAGTGCCTGACCACCTTATCTATATCCCGAGAAACCTATTTGTGGCACAGGAAGCAACAGTTGGAACTGGATATGGAACAACTTATTGGTTCAAAATTGGGAAAGGAGTATGACAAGGCTGTATATTGTCCCTCTACTTATTTAACTTATATGCAGAATACATCATGCGAAAGGCCGAACTGGAGGAATCCCAAGGAGGAATTAAGATTGCTGGAAGAAATCTGAACAATATGCAGATGATACCACTCTGATGGCAGAAAGTGAGGAGGAATTAAATAACCTCTTAATGAGGGTGAAAGAGAAGAGTGCAAAAAACAGTCTGAAGCTCAACATCAAAAAAACAAAACAAAAAAAAGCAAAACAAAACCAAGATCATGGCCACAGGTCCTATCATCTCCTGGCAAATAAAAGGGGAAGATATGGAGGCAGTGACAGATTTTACTTTCTTGGTCTCCATAATCACTCCAGATGGTGACAGCAGCCACGAAATTAAAAGATGCCTGCTTCTTGGGAGGAAAGCGATGACAAACCTTGACAGCATCTTAAAAAGCAGAGATATCGCCTTGCCAACAAAGTCTGCATAGTCAAAGCTATGGTTTTTCCTGTAATGATGTATGGAAGTGAGAGCTGGACCATAAAGAAAGCTGACCACCAACGAATTGATGCTTTTGAATAGTGGTGCTGGAGGAGACTCTTGAGAGTCCCCTAGATTGCAAGGACAACGAACCTATCCATTTTGAAGGAAATCAACCCTGAATGCTCACTGGAAGGACAGATCCTGAAGCTGAGGCTCCAATACTTTGGCCATCTGATGTGAAGAGAAGACTTCCTGGAAAAGACCCTGGTGTTAGGAAAGTGTGAAGGCAAGAGGAGAAGGGACGACAGAGGATGAGATGGTTGGACAGTGTTATTGAAGCTACCAACATGAATTTGATCCAACTCCAGGAGGCAGTGGAGGACAGGGGGTCCTGGCGTGCTCTGGTCCATGGGTTCATGAAGAGTCAGACACAACTAAAGGACTAAACAACAACAAAATGCAATAGAAAGTTGTCAAAGAATAGTAGAATCATAAAGTTGGAAGGAAAATCAGAGTCATATAGTCCAAATCTCTGTCTGTGCAGGAAATCCA